CGACACTACATCAATTATACTATAAAAGTTACCATGACGAGGAAAAATTCTCATTGCTCGATGCGTTTCTTAAAATACAATCACACGCTGAAACAACGCACGTTACATAGTCAATGATTTTTCATTTCTATGTCACGTCAATATATTGTTTTCACGACGACAGTTTGATTAAAAAAAAAAATGCAATTGCGCGCGACTCATTACTTATCGTATCAACTAAATACCTAACAAACTTAATTGCTCGTCCTTGTAAATCTGTCCTTGTAAATTATAGCTACTTAAAATCGCGATAAAATAAATAAAATTTATACCTCAACGTACGACGACGACGATAAATCTGGTAATTACCCCGATATCATCCAATATCCGATATGATATCGATGGTTAACGTAACGGCAAATCGAAAATTATTGCCAAAACTATATGTGACGAGATGAAACGTGTAGAGCGGCCAACAACATATTGTATCGACCGGTGGCGGGGATCACGCTTGATTTAACGCGCCGCGACATCCCAATGGATCGATAGCGGGGTAATCTAGCAGGACATACAAGGAGATCGGGACCTTTACAGGTCCAATTAACAAACAAACCAATTTAATTAGCATTATCAATGCAATTTCCGCGCTGGCATCGGAACTAATATTGGAGGCGGTGGAGTCTGCCGATGTATACGCGTACGTAATGTACACGATATTGGTTCGAGCGAGAGGCGACGACGAACGCGGACGTGGCCATGTAGTAATTCTGTAATATTGTAGGTGACGGTGGTTAGCCTTAGGGGATGGGCAAACAATGACATCCGACCAACGCGGCTCGATTGCTACGCGCCGCTGCCACCGCATCGCCATTGAATGATGATAATGTATAAATATATTACAGAATTATTTACTTGTCGTTTTGCAAATTGCGCGCGCGCTCCGGAGGGACTTGTGTGAGAGAGAGAGAGAGAGAGAGAAAAAAAAAGAAAGATATGACATCGACTAATGCCGTTTATCGTAATTGTACAGGTATATTTTTGGTCGGATTGGCGTTCGCTATTATGCGTTGTTTACTCGTTGTTGTTTATCACGTATGTAAATATTGTATATTGGCACAGATGAAAATATGAATCTAATTGCCATGTTAAATCAACGCTCACTTACTCGTGAAACTACCTTACGCGTGTATAAAAAAATAATTGGTTATACGCGCGTATGTGCGCGGTTGCATATCACTGCGCGTCAAAAGTTTCTTTTTTTCTTTAAAACGAAAATGGCCATTAATTTCTATCAAATAGTTAATCAACTTGCGGGAGTAATTTAAACATAGGGATATGTTTACATAAAGCGCACAAAGCATCGGATCACTCGTTTTGTTTGAAAAAATAAAAAAATTAAAAAAATATAAAAAAGCGGAATACATCGTCATAAAGATGAAAATACGCATGCAGCAACCAGTAAATCTCACCCGTCTCGCAAATCCAAGCTGTACTATTCATAATTATAGGAAATCGTTAAGCCGTTATTATTTATTGACCAAGTCGTTAATGGATCAATAGCATTTCATTTTTCCCAGTCTATAACATATCGACGGCAATACATAAACCGTCCGGCGTGTTAAAACGCGTATACAAGCGCGTGTCACATGCACACATATTGCAGGAAATGGGAGCGGTAGCGGGTGTAATACACTACAAACATTTGCGTTGTTTCATACAATGTCCCCTCATATTTGTCAGGAAGTACCGACAACGTCTAACTCATTTACCGCATATTAAACCGCGCGGATGTAACGTAATGATCTCTCTTTATCCGCTAAGATTTTATTACACTAAATATTAATTTCAAAGCTTGCAGTTTTAAGAACGAAAAGTTTGTAGTTTTATAACAACGATATAAAACATATGAAGAATAGAAAATGAAAGAACATCGTTGCACAAACGACGGAAATGCGTTTTGCTAAATTAAAAAATGCCGTGAATTCCCTCTATAAAAAATAATTTGTTTGAAAAAGAAAGGTAAAAAAAGGCACGAGATATCCAATTTATTATTTTTCAAAAATCGGAAATTCGAATATATATATATATATACACACATACACACACACACGCATGACGTTACATTCGAAGAAATTAATTTTACTCTATCCGCGTTTTGCACATTTATCGAAAACACATTCAAGAGGGCTTGACCGAATATTTTACTTATACGAAAAAAGAATGTGGCGGCAAAGCTGTTGCCGTTTTAATTTCCTTTCTGTTCGTGCACATTTGTTGCGAATTTGTCATCCTTTCTCGTCCTTCGCACTATTGCAGCGTACGTTATCCTGATATATATATATATATATATATATAATTTTTAATCCCGATGCTCATAGGCCAAATCGCAAAAATAGAAAATAAATTATTTACACGTGTATTTGTAGGTTTGTCAAACTGAATTTATCTCGTAAAGAAAACGATCTTTATCATTAAATAATTGATCCGTCTCAATTTAGAATGATTCTTACGTTACCCAGATTATGCATTCTCCTGTGATATTGAATGAGGCCAAGAACCGACGCTTATAAATTGGGTCGACACGAACCAAGGGATTTCAATATTCACACAGTGGTTAAAGATCAGGACTAATCCAAATGCGATCAGATGCATTACGTGGGAGAAATCGCCGTTCAGGTTAGGTACGCAAATGTTTGGGGCTTCTATATTGCCGGTGAGGTTGCGTCTTAAGGGGTTGGGATGGGGGTTGAAATGTGTCTGCGAGAGAGAGCACGATAACTAATACATAATCCCAAACGTTGGTTCTCCGATCGCAAGCGGTACATACAGTAATATACCCCGTACCGATTAAATCCAGTTCGGTCACGCGGCGGGAACTGAACACGCGCAATTGAATAAGCCAAAAGACGGTCGCGTGACTGACGCGAGTTGCTCTCGTGGCGCGTTTTGGCTATCGGAAAAAAAAAAAAAAAATTTACACGGTTTATCGTCATAAACGACAGCGTATAAAGTACAAACAACGTTGATAATTCTCTCGGCGATCTCTATCAAGTCGCCCAGTTTCTAAAGTTTCGTCCCCGTTGTTGGGGCGCGGTTGGCAGTTCACAACTTCGCGTTTCCAAATTGCAAACCATCGTAAATAAGCACGCTTATCTCGTCAAGTGTCGTCGCCAAACTCAGTGCGCCTCGCATTTCAGTGCGAATTATGGCATCGTCAAACCGAGTTTGTCCGCTTGTTAAGACGGGACATAACGACTCGGATGGCGTCATATCGCCGGAGCACTCGAGTAAGGGTAATGGGTTTGTGGGAACTTGGTGCGCGTCGCTAAATGGAGTAGATTAAGATATTGACGAGTTGTTACGGTGGATATATTTATGTATCGCTTCGTCATATCGTTGTCCGCGGCGTTTCTTTCTCATTTGTATTCGCGCGTCGCTTCGCTTCCGCGAGAACGTCAAGACGCGCGTCGGCAAGAAATACGAAGGCAAATTCTCTCTCTTTCTCTCTGTCTCTCTTGCAAAGGTGAGACTCGAGAGCAAGTACGCCGTGCAGACGAGATATTAAGTTGTTGAAACGAAAGTTGAGAGCGCTTTATAGAAGCCCCCCTCCTCTCCCGGTAAGACTCATCAATTTCCCGATATTTCCGATCGGTCAATCCAGCAGAGACAGCAACATCATTGCGCGCAATCCTATTGACGATGAAGAATGAAAACTCCTTTTAACAATATCGCTTATTCAGACGCGTCGGCACCGGTGTGCGGACTTTCTTCGCCCCCGTAGCGCGAGAGGATGATCGATTGCATCCGCGCGCATAGGTCCCGCAGTCAAAACTGTAGGTACCCGACGATCAATATAATACATATCAAGGCCCTCGCGCTTATATATTCTTCGCCTTCCGCGTATACGCGACTGTTCTCTCTAGTACTTCGAAAACAACACGAGAGCGGGGTGCCGCCTCGCACGTCCACCTTCGCGCGCACCTTTTTATTATGTCATAAAACGTGATATGCGAACAGCAACGTGCGCACTGCACAATCGCGCCCGACCTCTCGTCGTATCAAGGTTACAATTTCAACGACACACACACACATATCGCAGCGTATACATATTTCGCAAGATCGGCGTGCGTGCTCTCGACTCTTTCGCGGTCGTACGTCGGTTCTCCATTCATTCCGCGCGCGACGCCGGCCGCCGAACTCCGTGTATATGTCGCGGTCTCTCGCGCGTCGCTTGGTCGGCTCGGTTTGTACTTTGCGAGCAAAAGTTCTCTCTTATTCGTTCACCGAAACAAGCGCATAATTTCGTTAGAGAACTCGCAGCGCCCGGCGGTTTCACCTCGTTATACGAAAACTTTCCGCGGTCCCGCATGAAAAAGGATATATATATGTATGTGTATATATATATATGTATATATATATATGTATATATACGGCGGCGCGCAGCAACAGCTGCAACGACGCGGCGCCGCTCGCCGCAATAATTTCCATTCCGTGCGATTATTCGCGAATTGTTCACGGGGTGTACCGCGAACGTGCGATATAACGACAGAAGAGTTTCTTGCCGACTTCGGGTGGCGGCTGTGGCCTATTTGTTATTATTTGGCTCGTAACGCTCTGACAAAGCATAAATTTTCCTTCATTCGATAGTCTCGTCATCGTTTTATAGCAAGCCGCTCTCTTGCCACGTGCGTGACTAATCTACGTCACACTAGATGTGCAACATCTTACTAGAGAAATACTTGCACACATGCATTATTAAATGGAGATCAAGAAGAATTGACAACAAAGTGTCGCACCACTTTAACCACCTTTCAAATGTCTGTCCGTGATCGCGCGACAGCATTTTTTTCCGAAACGAGCTCACTTCAAACGCTGACATAATTAAATTAGAAAATATTAATTTGATCAATTGTTATCGAACGTTTTTATAATCTAGAACAGATTTCATCGATTGTGGCATCTTTTTTACGGCAAATAAAAATGAAATTCTCTCAATCAAACACATTTTATTTAAACGCAGCTTTGCAAGCTTGGATAATTTTTCTTTCTTTATTTGTTGTAATTAATAACACTGGTATTGATTGATATGTTACATACAATTAACCAAGTACATTTTTGTACAAGTTCTTCCAGAAGTCTATCCTATCTCGCAACAAGCCTTTTTCCATTTTTAATTCTTGATTAATATTCATATATTTATCTTCCGTGCCTCTAGGCTCCCAATTCACATTTACATACTCATTCATGGTCGACGTGGGATTTCTGAAAAAAAATTCGATATAAATTCTCGTTGTATTTTTATTTCACTAAAAAGTGTTATACTTAAATTATAAGATGAAAATTGTCTGAACTCACCCGTCTTTTGCAAAATTCGTCAGTAACATGGTGAAGATGTGCGTCATTTTCTCCGCGGGAGAACCAGTTTGCGGCACATTTTTCAAGATGTCCGAATAAAATTCGTACGTCATATCATCCCCGTGAGCAACACCTAATTAAATAAAGCAGTAATTGCAAATAAAAATAATTAATTGAAATATGTTTCTCCGTGCGCTTCTCTCTCTCTTTCTCTCTCTCTTTCTCTCTAACGAGTTGACGGAATACAAGAGCGGGGATGAGTGGTGTTATTTTTCTACAATGTGTAGAGGTCATAAACTCACCTTCTTCCACGTGGAACAACGATTTCATCATACCGAACGGAGCTTCGTAAGAGAACATGTACTCGTAAATTGGCGACGAGATTCGGGAGCTTAATATTTCTAAACTAAGCGCGGTCGGCACGTCAAACATGACGTCGTCCAACATCTAAAATGCACAAACAGCTTTAATATGCACGTCTTTAAACTTACGCGCCACTTACTACACAAAGTTTCACGGTGTGACGGGGACGGATATTAATGTTAAGTACTCACCATCATGAACTCTTTCGTCGTTTCCGTGGAAATCGACTTATCCTCGAAGTAGAAACTCTTAAGGCTTTCACCCAGTTGGTTTCTCTGTCCGGAATCGGTTACGTTCAAGTCGTCCGGCAGAAAGTTCTCGAAGTGCTCGTTCATTTGATCGATATTACCGAGCATCACTGCGAAAACAAATGTTTCGTTGTCGTTTACATATACATCGAACATCGTATAACATATACATGTGTATATATATATGTATATATATGTATATCTCTCTCAGGAAAACTGATTACTCTGCACGAAGAAGGCAGACTCGTCGGTCGTAATTCCAGCCATAACCGGCACGTCAGCAATTTTTCCGGATTTCAGAAGCGTCCAAGGATCGTTGGGCAGAAATACCTCTTGTCCCAGGTCAACCTCGGCGGATGGAAGAAACGCCGCGAAACGGCCGTTCATAGTGTTCTGCGCAATGACGCAATCGAAATGATTACCGGCGTTCCGGTATTCATTAACGTAATGTCTATGTATCCGGGACGCGCGCGTGTATCATAAACATCAATTAATTTAACGTTACCTCTCGTACGCGCGCAACCCAACGGAAGGGAAGGTTTCACTGTCCAATTACATTCAATATCTGTTCAACGGATATTGCGAACAAGGAGAAAAAAAAAAAGAAGAGCCGTGTCAGAGCGATATCAACGCTCGGCGCATACCTCGGTCTTCATTAATTCCCCGCTGACTGTAATTAATTCTTTTGCGGTAAATTCCGCGAGTCTGGCAACCAGCTCAGCAGAATCGGTAGTCTCAATGCCGAGCTTCTCTCCCAATTTGAAAGCTACTTCTCTTGGATTGTAAGATATCGCCCAAGTATTCACCGCGCTTCCGCTCTGCTGAATGGCGCTGTTGAACAGACCTGTGGCCCAGTTAAATCGTGTTGTACACTTTTACGTTGCAAAATGCAATTGATTAATATCCATTTGTACAAGAAAAGCATGTCTCTTTCTCTATTTCTCTATTTCTCTCTCTCTCTCTTTCTCTCTCTCTTTCTCACCGTCAGACATAGGGGACATCATGTGAAACTGGACGGAACTTGCACCCGCGTCTTCGCCGAAGATGGTCACTCGGTTTGGACAGCCACCGAAATAATGTATGTTATCCTTGACCCATTTCAGCGCCATTACCTGATCCTTCAGCCCGGCGTTTCCAGGAGCACTTTTGTCAAGAGTGTTTAAAAATCCTAAAAGTCATCGTGACTTATCGATTGTAAGCACACGTATTTATTTTGAGAATTATATATTTACAGATTAAAAATTTGCAAGCGCGTGTGATGACAAATTATTTTCGAGAGCTAAATTGTATTTACCGATGGGGCCGAGTCTGTAATTGAATGTTACAAGGACAACGTCGTGTTCGACCAAAAAGTCGGGTCCGTAAAACAGATCGTCTCCGAAACCGTTGTTGAAATTACCGCCGTGGATCCACACCATAACAGCCTTGCGCGCTTCCTTGTCCAATACTGGAGTGTAAACGTTAAGATAAAGACAATCCTCCTCGCCGACCATGTCTTGTTTTATCATGCAGAAGAACGGACAGGCCGAACGATGATAGGTCGCGTCATATGTGCCTTCCCAGGAGTCAGCTGGATCTGGCATCTTATGAATAAGAAGAAAGTGAAGGTTTCTCGAAAAGAGACATTTCTTATTTAATAATCGAAAAAATTCGATATTTTGATTTAAATTTAATTTTTTTTCTTTTTTTCTTTTTTCAATGAAAAAAAAAAAAAGCAATTTACATTCAAATGCGTGTAACGTACGTATGCACACGCATCGATGAACTTACCTGGAATTTATTAAGACCGACATTAGATTTCGCGTAGGGTATCCCTTTGAAGCTGTAGTACGGCTTGTTCTGCAAAACGGTATTGGTCTTTAGACCTTTCAGAAATCCCTGAGGAATTTCTAATTGAACATCCTGCACGGCTTCGGCCCATGCAATCACAAACGCACAAAACAGGAACTTGCGAAACCACATTTTCACTCTGCAGAAAGATCGCTTCGCCGTCGATCTTTTATAGCTTCAGAATATATGCTCGTAATAAAAGAAGTGGATCGTAGCGCGGATCATATTTACGCAATCGCTGTCCACAGAATATGTAATAACGCGAATGCGGGTTACTCGCACACAGCAATTTGCAAAAAAAGACTATGTACGTAATCTCGCGTGTCAACCACAATCGCAACAAGTGATTTTTTTTCCTTTTTTTTTTTTTTCAAATAAAATTGTCAGATCGGATTTCCTCAGTTTATTCTCAGCCTCGATAACATAATCTCCATTAGAGCTTCATAACGCGCTTCCTGAAATTTATGCGCAATCCGCAACAAGGTAACGTCGCACAAATTGCGCGGCTTTTCAAAACCCATGAATGAAATAGCTCAAATTGCTCCATCATTACCATTAACAATTAGATGCGCGAACAAAAGGCTACAACGTTTTTACGTTTGTTACATATTTGGTGATATTATATTTTAACTATTATTGAGAAAAATATAACAACGTATAGATACCTCGCTTCGTTCAGTATACTTAATTTTTAATTATTTATTTCAAAAACAAGGTTAAGTGACGTTTCGATAAACAATTTTTGATAAATTTTCGACAATCTTTCAAATGTTTTTTTGTTACGCAATTACGTGTAACATGGTAATGTCACCTCTCTTGACATAATATTACACTCGAATATCTTAGAAAGTCATAATGTCGTTGCTGCAACGACGGAAGATTTTAAGTAGAATTTTAATTAATTTTAATAATAATGCAAAGTGCATTAATCTAAAATAAATAAATTTTCATCACTTTTATGCATCGCGTAAATAGGAAGGGAGATGTAAAGAGAAGAAATGAGGTGAGAGCAGCTGAACAAACTAAATAGATACGGATTTGAATGGTACGCCATAATGATTAAGGCCGTGTACTAGATGCAAACTTCGCAAGTTTAAGCGGTAATTAAGGTCGAGTTAAAAGAGAAGTACCGGTGATGTTGTTTGTTTCGATACCGACATTGTGAGTTCTAGGTGCGGGGAGACTTATGACACAAATTAAAGTTTGCATTAACAGATACAAGTCAATATCAAGAATGTTTTTTTCATATTTCACATGATAATCAAAATATTTTTTTATATGTACTAGAAATTTTCTAATCTTACTTTTCTCTCTATCTCATACGAAGAACGAAAACATAATTCTCTGTGTGTTAAACATTTCATAACTATTTGTGGTTCTTATTTATTTAATCATGAGCAACACATCGTCGCGTGTGCACCGACTTTTAACACATCTGCTGACGGACGGCGCAATCTGAAGAAAAAAAAAAAAATCTGAAACATCGAAATAAATCTCGCGTGCGTGATTTTCCGCTTTAACGAACGATCAGACATTTTCTGACAATCTGTTCGCCTCGCGTCGGGAGGAAAAGAAAGATATGTTCTGTGAGCAATTGCAGCCGCGTCCACCCGGCGTTTCCCCCGAGTAAACTTCAGTCTGTTTCGAGCGTGCCATCGAATTTTTCAAACTTCAACGTGATTTTCCATCCTCCGTCGACGTCAACGATTCTCTTGAATGCGACGTCGCCTTCGTCATAAATGCGGCGTCGCATTCAGTACCGAATTCATACAAAGCAACCGACCGACCGACGGGGAAAGAAGTACACGCGTTTCGATTCGCAGACAGACGCTTTTTCCCCGACGATTTCGTTCACTCTTTCTCTCTCTCTCTCTCCATGTTAAATAAAATATCCTAGAGTATCTCGATTTATACATCGTTCGATTTCGGGGAAAAGATACCGGATTCTAGAAATAAATTAGTTTGCATATTCAAACGAAGCGAATCCTATATAGTAAGGAGGACAGTCGGTCGATAAGCAGTTTTGCACAACGGCAGGCGGAGGTAGCGCGCTCTTTCCCACTTTTTTTTTCTTAAATAGAATATCCGCTTACAGCAAGCTGCTTTCAACAGTTGCCGTTAAAGAAAAGATAAAAGGGTAGACATGGGACACTTGCGAAATATGACCACTTTGTCCACGCCCCGGCATCGACGGCTCTGCCGTACGTATTCTCTAACCTGAGGAACTTAGGCTCGGTTTCACGTTTCAAAAGCGACTTTCAAGTCGAGTTTTAGCCGGCATGTTAATTTCCGCGCTTCCACACACTAGAATACATACATATAAATGGTTTTTGTGTTTTAGGAAAATTAAAATATACAACTTCCTTATTACTCTTTGCTTTTTCTTTTTGTTTGCGATGAGACGAAACAATTATCCTAACAAAAGCAAGTCTTCCCTCTTGTCTTGTTTTGTTTTCTTGGTTTTCGTTTTCTTGTTGGCACCACTTCAACGACGCGATGTTCATCTTTTCTCATTTAGAATTTTCCCGCACACATGCATAAGTAAAGAAATATATTCGAAACACGATTACAATTTCAATATTATATGATATTCTCTCTCTTTGTGCACATAAATATATGTAAATGATAAAATTATACAAACGTGTGGGAGGAAGGTCAAAATTTCTTGAATCGCGCAAACGCAATTGTGTACAGTTTGCGGGAACACACTTCGCGATGTGGTAATTAAAGAGACTCGGCGCAAACGCGACGACGTACGGATAGTTGTCGGCAATTTAACTGCTCGTGTGCTGTTCGCTCGAATTGCGGGCCATTGACACCGAAAAAATTTTAGATAATACAAAAAACAACGCGACACCGGGCGCCAAGTGCCGGGGCGAAGTGAAACGCTCCGAACGAATATTTTTGTTTTTAACCCGCGTTATCCGCACGCTCCCCTCTGACACCGCGCCGCCCTCGCGTGCGCCATCGTCATCAGCGATCTTTCCCGGCGGTTCCGCTAAATTTCGACGCACGCAGCGGCGGGCACAGCACGCGGGCGGATTTGACACATTTCCGTCGAAAAGCGTGCCGAGAGCATATTTTCACGTTTTTTTCCTTTCACGACCGAATCAACGACCTGTCGTCACTCGGAAGCGCTATCTCACTCTCTCTTTCTCTCTCTTTCTCTCTCTCTCTCTCTCTCTCTCTCTCTTTCTCTATTCCTTTATTCTCTTTTCTATCTTTCTCTATCTCTATCTCTAAGAGCTTTTCACTTTGTTTTAACAGTTCGTTCTTTGGCGGCTATTCGTTCCTCTTTTCCACGCGCCTTTCTCCCACATTTCTCTATCTTTCTCTTTGCTCTTTCATCGCTTTAACTGTCCTTTTCTTTCCGTCCTGTCTATTTGTCCTTTCTGGTCACCTCATCCTCTCGCGCTTACTTGTTCTCTTTCTCTCTTTCTCTCTCTCTCATCTCTCTTTCTCTCTCTCGTACTGTCACATCGCTCTGTGCAGTTCGTTCGCTCGCAAACAATGCTGCGGCCACCCTCGTGCCTACGCGCTGTTTTCGCTGAATAAATTTAATTTAAATTTTCCTGCCGTTCGGAACGTTTATTAAGTAAATATATCACGCGAGGGGCACAGGAACGAGGAAGGGTGAGGCTGTGCACACTGATATTTTCCGCGAAACTTGCACTACCAAAGCCGCGTATTGCATCCCCGCTATTGCCGCGGACGCGTGCACGTGTTCATGATGCACGCACGGCAGAATAACGCGACTCTCTATGTTTATGGGATTAATTTATTAAGTTTCGCGCGCGAGCCCTTTCGACCTCTCGCTGTTTCATTTGCCTCTAGTTGAGAATCGCGAATGATATGCGAATTGGAAAAATGTAATTTGTTAGTGTAAGATTCTTTTTTTTTACATATCAAAGCGCGCGTCAACTCGCCGCTTCAAAAATCATAAGCAACGTAGTCAGAAATTTTACTTGTTAAGAACGTGAAAAGTATAAAATAAAATTCTGTCTCTCTTGTGTTGGCTAAAGCTGTCGGATGTGAGTGTTCCATGTGTTGTGCTTATAGCGCAAAAAATATAAAGAATCTATAAATAAACTGATTAAAACATCGTTACATCGCATATATATATATATATATATATTCACATTGCGCGTCGATATTTTTCAAAAATCGCCTTTTAGCTACAGTGAAATATGAGAAGATTTATTTGCATGAATGTGTTCGCTTTTATGTCACTTTTATGTTTCGTCATCAGTCCAATATTTTTTGTTTCTTTTAGCACAGAGGGTCGTATCTCTGTATTAGAAGAGCGACATGCTGTACGTTGTTGTTTTAAATAAAGTCGACACAAAAGTGCGAATTCGCAATTTGCTTTGCAATATAACTCAACAAATGCTGCGAGAAAAAAATCTTGGTTTAAAACAGACGATGCATGTGCAGTTTGTTTTTTTTTTTTTTTTTTTTAATCTAATTATCTAACACCAGACGAAGACATTAAACTGGAAAAAGACCAAGCGGAGAGAATTATCGAGCGAAACGCGAGCGAAGAAATTATATAATTTGTTTTACGTGTGGCGTCGAGTAGACAATGCTAATAGCAACGAAAAAGTCTGGCGGATCGTTGGAATTAAACCGTCGCGCACGGCAAATCTTTAACCGCGATGAGAGTAAAGCACTTTCAGCTGAGCGGCCGAGCCTTTTGATTTGAATGTAAGAGCGATTTTCCGTGCGAGAAGGTTGAAAATGTATAAGCCAACCATTCGAGGTTCCTAGTTTGACGCGGAAGAAAGTGGAGGATAAAGAAACAGAAAGAAAAGAGAGAAAAAGAGAGAGAGAGAGAAGAGAGAAAAGCAAGGACAGAAAAGTTAGATATCGCGGATATAGCGAGAGAAGAGTACGCGGGGGAGTAACATAATTGCTTTTGCAAAGGAGGTCACAAATTCGACATTCACAGTCGGTCATTGCGGCTGTGAAAGCGTCTTTTCGAGCGTAAGGTTTTTAATACGAAGCCGGAGTGCCGCTTCTGGTTTTGAAAGCGTCAAGGATTTCGTCTTTCGCGTGCTTTTCGCGTGTCCTATCTCTCCTCTCTCTCTCTCTCTCTCTCTCTTCGATCTTTCTTTTCTCTTACACCTTTTGCGGCGCACC